AGCAAGGAGATTCTCTATCTCCAGAAATTTTGAACCAAAGGAGGAAATTCGTCAAGCTAGTGACGTTAAAGAAGCGCTCATTGGGAGGCAACCCAACACACACAAAAAAAAACAAAAAAAACTAACCTTAAAAAAAATGTTGTTTTGACTTTTGCAGATGTCTGGAGGAGGAAGCGACGATCCCATCTTTCAGGAGCCACCACTGGCTAGGCATGACCCATTGCACGTACCAGATATTCCATTCGCTACTGATGCTGACCGCACACGCTTCCAGACGTGGGGGCAGTACCGCACTCTTCTAGCTCCCATGATCCTGGATCAGAGGATGCTCAAGGAATGGGGATACTGGGCCGACATTGATGCTCTACTAGGAGATTCCTTGTGGCGTGGGATTCTATCCATACAGGAGAGAGAGAGCTTCCCATTGACGATGGAGTTCCTATGCTCTCTACGCTTCACTCACTACGGCCACACTGTGCACACAGGATCTGTCATTAGGCCGGCGACTCAGATGAGATTCACTATCATGGGCATCGAGCACTCCATCACTGTGGCTGAGCTCGGATGGAGGATTGGGCTCTATGCTCCTGCATATACACAGACAGACGAGTTTTGTGCTCTCCCGACACATTTACCTGAGGCATTTGATATTGATGAGTTCTGGCACAGGCACTCCACAGACACCAGACCGTTCCTCCGCATGCACCCCCAGTCGAGCCGGTGGAGGCAGACTCACTGGTATATACTCTCCTTTGTACTCTCTTGTGGTTTTTTTGGACGACCTAACAACACGAACAGGTTGTCCAAAAAGGACATCCTATTCTTTTGGAGTCTGGTTCACCGCACCCCGGTGAATATGGCAGTCCTCTTGGCTCGTTTCTTCCGGAGTCAGGGGAAGAGTGTTCGCCGCACGATCCAGGCAGGGCCCTTCGTCACTACTCTCGTCCGGTCTTTCTATCCTGACCTAGACATTCCAGATCTACTCCCACTACAGGATAGCATTCGCATTCTTAGATCCTCATCCTTTGGGAACATGAGGATCAAGAAGAAGCGAAATACTCAGGAGCTGCCGGGCATTGACCAGTCGACACAGCAGAGTAGCTCTTCTCGAGCCCCAGCACACAGGAGACCTGGTGAGCCAGCCTCGGACATGCCTAGTGCCTCAGATTGGAGTGCGATGATGGACGCGATGAGGGGTCTTCAGACCTCATTCGTAGATTTTCAGGGTGCACAGGAGAGAGCATTTCGGGAGATGCGAGAGGCACATGCGTCGGCCCTGGGAGAGTTCAGAGATTATAGACTGGCACAGGAGGGAGCCAACAAGGATATTCTGGAGCAGCTAGAGACCCAGCAACTGGATATTGAGAAGATACGAGAGTGGCTACGGCCTAGTCATGGATCACGGGATGACACAGGCGATACCTAGATTTGCTTCTTCCTTGACATTTATTTTTGTTTGTTTGTTTATTCAGGATTGGACATTGCGCTGCTCTTTTGACTTGAATGCTCTCACAAACTAGCTATGGATGCTGTAAGAATTTTTAAAACATTTTTATTCCTGTTTTCATTATTCCTCTTCACAAAATCTTTTCAAAACTCAAGTGTGAGGAAAGAACCAAAAAAAAATGTTCCTTTATTTCTAAACTTTGTGCAGACCTCGAGGGCGAGGTCCAGCTCAAGTGTGAGGAGGTTGCGTTTTACACTCAAAATGTTAAAACCTTGTTTTAGATCAATCTTTTTACTATTTTTGATATGAAACATTCACCTCTCAATTGTTATCAATCACATAATAGCTTAGAGGATCACCCTTATTATAAGAATTTACTTTTATTATTATTTTTAGAAAACTTGAAATTGTTATGGGTTTTTGGTTGCGAATGTAAGGGGTCGATTTTGTTTTAATTGGACATTCATTTTATTCAAAAAAAAAAATACTTATTAATAAATCTCTTCAAAACTCATTGTTATAGGACAATTCCATCTCCGAAAAGGGGCTCTGTTTCATTCGTTAATCATAGTCTGTGAGAATGAAATATGCATCTACCATGGAATAACACCGCCAACAAGAGTGGAAAAGAGACACAAAAAAAAATATAATAATAATTTGTGAATAAGATAAATGTCCAAATTAGAATAATGAAAACCTTGGGATAAGGAATTGATTGGTGGTTTAACATAATCAATAGTTTTTTTTAATAATAATTTTAGATTCTTGTATTTTGGGTGATTTTTCTAAAATGTTTAAAAATTGACAAAAAAGGGAGATTTTTGTTTCTATTTCTTTAATAGCAATTCGATTATGATTCAGTCAGGTTTTACCTTTTTTGAGTGTGTTTGCAACTAATTTGTCGCTTGAGAACAAGCAACGCTTAAGTGTGAGGAGATTGATAAGTCCATTTTTGTACTTATTTTTCTTATCAAATTTAAGTGATTTTGGACTGAAAAACAGAAAAACAAGGCATGTTTTATATATTTTGGCTCAAGTTTCGTGAAATCAGGTAAAAATCACATCCATGATATGTTTGATGAAATTTCGGGTCAATTTAGCACAAAATGCGTCAATTCGAGTAACAAATGATATCATACCGAAAAAAGGAAGCAGAATTTCAAAGTGGTCCAGAAGGGAAAGTTGAAGAGTACAAAATTCAGAACAAGACGGACAAAACACCTCACAGGCGCCCAAATAGGCGCCCAGATTGGCCGCCTACCAGGCCGCCTACCAACTTTTGAAAAAAGTCAATTTTGATCAAATTTGACCGGACCGGAGAAAACGGAAGGCGGCCGACCCTGGACGGAAGGCGGCTGCCTTCGATGGCCGCCTGCGGCACAAGGCGACGAACCAACCACCGGCCGGTGGGATTTGACGGCAGGCGGCCAGACAGGAACGGCAGGCGGCCGCCTGCCGGACCGCCTACGGCGGACGAGTTGACCGGCGTCACGTCCTGCCGGTGACGTGACGGAAGGCGACCGGGCCAGGACCAGAGGCGGCCGCCTGTTTGGCCGCCTACCATATTTGTTTTGCTATAAATACCCCGATTTTTGCTGAACTCAAACACACCTCTTCCAACCCTAATTCAGTTCAAAAAGGTCCTGTTCTTCAGCTATTTCCGCAGCTCCAAGGATTTTTGGGAGAGAGAAACTTCAAATCTTCATATCTTCTTCATTTTAGCTTCAAATTGTAAGTTCTTTATATGTATTTTCATCTTCTCAACGAGTGGAATCTGAATCTGTGCTTTGTTTTCTCGATATGTTCTTCGAATTTTTCCAGAATAATTATCTAGTATTTCGCATTTTCTTCCATAAATTAAATAAAATAGTTGTTGATGTTGAATTCATTCCAATTAATTATATAGTTGTTCACCAGCCTCAAGGTTGTTATTTATCTGAATAAAGTTAATTTTCACGAAGTGCAAGTATTTTTTTTATTAATTTCGGTAATTAGGTGTAATTATTGCATAAATTAAATTAATTACACAAAAATAGAAAAAAATAGTCTCGGCCCTAATTCCAGTTTATTTCACTGTAATATCCCCCCTAGTAGTCAACAAAAAAAAATTAGAACGAATTTAGCCTATTTTTAATTGCTTTTTGTATTTTATAGTTAAAAGTGGGAAAATTATCAATTAGGGTTAAAATTGGATTTTAGGTTTAAAAATTCGTGAAAAATTCCAAAAAGTCATATTGTAGTTCCAGAAAGTTTATTTTGACAATATCTTATTTTTGTTTAATTTTTGCTATTATACATGTTTAATTCCTTGTTAATGTTTAATTTATTTACCATATTGTTGAATGCAAAAATAATGTTTAGTAGCTAAATTTGTTTTGGGCATGGATTGAGTAAAGGAATATGGATTGACTTGTTAGCCGAAAATTAGGGGTTAAAATTAATTAATTGAGCTAGTTATTCAATTTGATGAATTAGTAATTAATAATTTTTAGCCAATTTCATTAATTAAATTTTGGAAAATTATTTCTAACTTGTCTATGAGATTAGAAAGTAATTTGAGCCAACTTTATTCAAGCACATTAATAAGGCCTAGAAATAGGATAATTTTAATGAAATGGATTTACATCTTGTCTATGAGAAATAAATTCAAATTGCTTAAATAATGAATTTAATTAGTTAATGAATTTGGCTATTTTTATTAATTACTATTTTGGAGAATTATTTCTGCCTTGTCTATGAGATTAGAATTTAATTCAAGCCAACCATTTTTGAATACATTAATGAAACCTAGAAATAGGATAAATTAATGAAAGTAATTTCTATTCTTGTCTATGAGAAAAGAAATTATTAGTCCAATTGTTGTTTTAATCCTCCTAATTACTAGGTCCAAGAATATATCCATTTTCAATTACTCAATTCATTGCCCTTACTTGCCTCAATAATTTTTTAGAATATTTAAATCTTAAATCTTTTAGTTGAAATTTGCTCCTAGTGTAATTTTGCAATTTGGCCTAGTCTAGAATACAATCACCCCTTTTTTTGTACTAAAAAAGCTTCCAACAATTAGCGATAGCCCGTGACTAAGACTAAATTAAGAAAACTCCTCCGTCATTCCTCAAGAGACACGATACTCGGGGAAAAATCGAAAGGTTAGACTCCTTTTTACTACAACGTCGCGAAAGCGGTTATCACATGGTAAGTTTATTTCTTTAATATGTATGTAGGTCAAACTGTGAAGTTCATTGTGGGACAGAGAGTATATTTTAAGAATCTTATCGTTCCTTTCCATTGTCATTTTAGATGTTAATAGACGCATTATATTTCGAAAGCATTAAGACTATTTTAATTAGAAATTAAATCAAATGTATACAGATCAAGATCAGTTTCGACAGTTATAAATACAAATAGAACAAACATCTACCCGACCAAACAAGTTCAATCCAGACTAATTTAGACTAGATCAGATCAGACTTAGACAAATTAAACTAGACACAAACACATAGTATCAAACCAGAAATTTTTTATCCAAATTTTTATGAAATAAGTTCCAAAGTTGATGTTTATTTTCCAAATAATTAAAAAAATTGTGTTCTTGCTGATACTCATATATGTCCATTAATGTATTTATATGGATGTAAAGTACCAATATCAATATATATACCGATATTGATATGTTCCACCTTGGCGATTCTTTTAGGCTAGACTGCTAGAGCCAACGTTCGAGTACATAACATAAAAATAAGCTAAGGGTGTGTGTGCGTATAGTTCATCTCTTAAGTGTGGGCTTCTCTATTATACTATCATCATGAAAATACGACCAATTTACTCAATCTCATTCTTTAATTGTTCTTGATTTGCTTGCGTTTTCTGCTTTGGCTATATGCCTATATGTACCCCTCTTTCTGCAATGTGGATGATATAGACTGAGAGGCTTTCGCGGGGGTGAACACTGTGCATTAGTTGTTCTTACGCCCGAGGTTCATCATTTGGGTAGACCTACAATTCAGTACAGTTATATGTTGTTAGTTGTTACCATCCACCAGATACAAAAGCATTCATTCAAGAAAAGGTCGGGGAGGATTTCATGGGGTAACCCCCTCCCTTAGGTTTTGTCATTTCTTTGCATAAAACAAGCCCAAAGCTTTTTCTTAGTACTACCTCCTTCCTTAAAAGAAATTCTCCCTTTCTTTTTATGGATATTCCAAAAAGAAGTTCTCATTTCTATTAAAGAAAACCACTTTTATCCTTAAAGTCACAATCACTCTTACTTTTTAACCACTTTTTGCTTGATTTAACATAAAGTAAGGGTAGACTTGAAAAGTTAAAACAAAACTCTTACCTTACATAAATATGTGTGTAGGTCAAACCGGGAACTTTATTTTGGGACGGAGGGAGTAATATTTAAGTCATTTAAAGAAGGGAAAGCCTCTCAGTGTATATCGTCCCTCAGTTATCCACGAAATTAAAATCTCAGACATGTATTTCTGAGATTGTAAATGTGAGTTTTTTTCGAATTAAAGCTAATTAATTAATTACGAAAATAATGTTGGGTTAAAAGTATTTACGGATCTACTGCTGGGTTTAACCGTGGTCAGGGTTAAAACATTGAATGTAGATATCAAAATTTGGGTATTTCCATTAATTACGAATGGAAAGTCGCCCAACCGTTGGGCGACTTTCCATTAAGTAAAAACAGCACCCAACCACAAAACAGAACACTGTGAATGAAACCCAACCCCCAAATCCCCCAAGCAGCAGCTACGAAAGACGAAGGACGAAGGACGACCGAGCCATTTCCATCTCCGGCGAACTTCCATATCCGGCGACCCCACTCCGGCAAACCTCCATCTTCAACACTCTTTCTTCTTTCTTGTAGGTAAATCAAACTCCATTTCATCTCATTTTTAACTTAGGGTTTTGAATGTTAAATTTTTGGAATTTTTAGATTATGAAATGTTCAAATTTGATTTGAAATTGATTTTGACATGTATATATTTTGACATTTGGGCATTTGGGTGGATTTGAATGTAGCTAAATTTGGGTATTGAAATGTAGACTTGAATGTAGATATCAAAATTTGGGTATTTTCATATTGAAATATGGATTTCTCAAGCTTCCCAATTGTGTGTCATTGGGGAGAGAACTATTATGAGGATGCTGGTCAAATATGCCATGAAGGTGGTACAACCACATTTGTCATGGTTTGTCGTGGTGTTTGCATGCTCGAGATCCTTCAAAAAATACATACAGCCACAATGAAAATCCACACGTATTAAGAATGAGATGGATGAAGGTCCCCGAGGAACGGTTAGATGTGGAAAATGCCACCAAACCGGCCATAATAGGGCCATATGTGCGAAGAGATCATCAAGACACGATGGGGGGTCCAGTGGGTAAGGTGTTAATTATAGTAATTCACATTAATAAAATTGATGATTAAAAAAAAGAATTAGTATAATAGTAAAAATTAACTAATACGATTTTGTTTGTTTGTAGGCATGCAGGTGACAGCGGATCCTAGGTCGAGTGATCAAGATGACCATGACAACTTCTACTTTGTCTTTTGTATTGCAGTTTTTCTTGTAGAACATTTTAGATAATTTACAACATTTTAGATGTTGTAGGAACAATTTACAAAATGTTACGTATTTTCTCTTGTATGTTGTATTTATGTGTTCGAGTATGAATATTAGATGATTAATTGTTATGAATGTTTGATGATTGTACTGTGTTTTACCGGTGAGTTGTATGTGTTTGTGAACATGTGTGTTGTATGTTTTATAATGTGTTGCATCTCGCTCGTAACACTTAAACAGGAGAAGGGGGACCTTATTTATAGCAAAAAGATGAGTCTGGGTTGAAATGGGGTAAAAAACTGATGAAATTCTGTTTTCGGAATTAGGCACGATCGTGCCTACCCATCCGGGCACGATCGTGCGTGACTAGCAGTAGCTGTTGGTCTGCGTTTATATGGAAGGGGAAAGTCGCCCAACGGTTGGGCGACTTATAAGTCGCCAAACCGTTTGGCGACTTATAAGTCGCCCAACCGTTGGGCGACTCTCCCTAACCATGGTTAAACCCAACAGTAGATCGGTAAATAATTTTTTTACCAGCATTATTTTCGTAATTAATTAATTAATTAACATTAATTCGAAAAAAAACTTTGTAAATGTCACCCCTCAATTGTCCAAATTGTTGTAAATGTGGTCCTTTAAGTGGTGAAATGTACTCTTGTCCACATTGTATATTTCACCCCTCAAAAGGACCACATTGACCGCATTTTGGACAATTGAGGGGTTTACAATCTCAGAAATACAGGTCTGAGATTTTATTTTTGTGGATAACTGAGGGACCATATATGCGATTTTCCCTTTAAAGAAATACCAAAACCATAGTAGTTACTTGAGGAAATCCCCCCCCCCCCCCCCCCCAAAAAAAAATCAATTTTTGTGGTTGATTATTTTTAATTTAGAAAGTTAGTTATTAACCTGATAGTGCCTTTCATTTATGTTCATAGACCTGCGCTTGAATTCGCCTCTGTGAGTGGTCATCTCATCCAATATCTCAGCAGATGAGTAATCATCATCTTCTTCATTATCATTACACACTTCTACATCCTGAAAATATTGTTTGCATTTAATATTAATTTCTGTTTTCTAAAAGCATAACACAGTAAAACATACAAACAATAGTCAAATTCAGTTCAAAGTACAAAAAATTCATGTCACGAGTTAATGAAAATCACATGGGAATGTATTGGATGTATATCTATGGTACGCTCAAGTATGAATACGCAGATCCTCAATCATTAAAGGTAAGACAAACTAAGCCTTTTTTCACAAGGAGGAATCGGCTATATGGATCGAGCCAAGGCATTTGGTTTCCTTACTGTCTTACACCAGGTATGGGAAATCAATCGAGTATAATTGCAGGTTACTTGCCATGACAGCAGGTCACCCGCTGACGTGGTGCACACATAGCGGTCCACGTCATCATCAAAATTAAGAGGACCAAATTGACAGTTTTCCCTGAATTTATTAATCCTTAACGATAAAAAAATTAAATAAAATGATTTTGAACAAATATAAACACAAAAATTATTGGATTTGGAATTTTGAACCCATTTTTTATTTTCCACCAAATGATCTTTTATTTATATTTCCTATCATTCCAAACGGACCCTTAGGAAGGGGGAGACACTGAAGATTAATATACCTCAATTAAGAGCTTGACAATCATGTAAGCAAGTACCTTGAAAGACACGTTTCTTGAATGAATTGAATGGCCAACGATTTCTTCATACTCAGCTGCATCTAATTCCTGAAGGTACTGTGGTGGGAACCACCTTGGAAGAACATGTTCTCTTATACTTATCATAAGAAAGAATGGCAAGGGGAATAATATCCCGGCAATTGGTATCCATGTTATTCCAAAGCAAATCAACAGATATATAAACTGGAAGGATGTGAAAGCAGCAATATATTTGAATGGTACCAACTCTACAAATGAGGCATGCAGGTTCTGCAATACTCTGCAGACAATGAAAAGCATGATTCAGTAGTATCAAATCCTATCTATACACAACATGAGTACTATACATGAGGAGACTGCACTACAAATTGAATCAGAAAAGTTTACGAAGTAAGTCTATTGTGAGGTACATGAAGCCCATAACATTCAAAACTAAAATAATCTACTCCCTCCCTCCTGAAACATGTTCATGTTTTTCTTTTTCATCTATGTCCATAAATAAAGTCTTATTTGGGCAAAAAATTGTTACTTCACTTTATTACCCTAATTATTATCCTCACTTACCATTACCTCCTTTAATTACCCCAACCACATATTACAAGGGGGGGCTTGTACATCAAATTGAAAAAAATCATTAAAAGCTGTTGCTTAGACAAAGCAAGATCTTAAAGGGATCGAGGGAGTACCTTCAAAGGATATAAATTGTGTGATGTGAAACTAAGAGGCTAAAAGTATCCTATGAAATCCACCCTTGGACTAGATTTATTTTGTATTATTCCGAAAAGGACCCAAAGGTTTTTCCCCCTGAAATCATTGGGAAATCTAAACTACGACTAGCTCTGGACAAACTGAAATCTCATCACTAAAATTAATGAGAAAGCGTAAATTAAGCTCTTATTAAGTTGATACTCCCTCTATGCCAAGGTTCCTCCTTTCCTTTTCGTACATCATAAGGTTCACATTTCCTTGCAGGAAAGAATATTATGTTGCCCTCTCATATACAAATAACTCAGCCATACAACTTCACTTTCTTAATAAGACTGTCAGATCAAATGAAGAATCTTATTTGGGGATGGAGGACTAGTATATTCATGTCTTCAGTACTTACTTGAATCGCCGGCCAGGAGGAATGAAGAGCAATTTCAATCTCTCCCAGAATTGATTGCCGGGGAGGCTATCAGTTGCCATGTAGGCAAAGTATCCCCAAAGTACTGAGGTTGGTATCATCTTTATCACAGGCATGGCAAATACAGCACATCCTATAAGAAGGGATTGCACTAAGTTGCTAACTCTTTGTTCATTAACTCTCACAGGCAAGTGGGCATCAATGTGCTCAGCAGGGTCAAAGTTATTATAAACTTCTCCATCTTTCTCATTCATCACAGCCTCCTTCAAATTTTCCAGCTCTTTGTCCACTGTATGCTACAGGGAATCATATAAGAGTCTTATCATAACATATACTGACTCTATCCCAGAGGGGCAAGAATCATTGACTTTGGAAACCTTAGACCACATCACCGTTCAATTAGGAAAACACAGGAGCCTTACAGAGTGACTCATGTACCGTTATTTAAGTTTCTAAGTAATCGCATATTGTTTCTTTAAGGTATAAAAGAATTTAACATAGGAAGAGTTGATATGTGCAAACTTGAAAGAGTAGTTAAATAATATGATCAAAAGACAGTTATTCTTGAGGACATTTTTTGTTGGTAAAGCAACATTTTTTATGGGACAGAGGGAGTACAAGTTATGGTTAAAGAAAAGGAGGTACTGTCTTGAGACCCGCAACTTACTGTTGGAGATGCATCCATCTCAACGAATACAGCATGCATTCTCCCAAAAATCTCGGATTTGCTTGCCTGCTTATTCATGCATTCTTTTGCACTCTTCACCATTTTCTTCCGAAGTAACTACTTATCAAGTATGAAAGAGATTCAATGTCAATCTATCATTACCATATGAGCAAGAGGTGAAGAGTAAATATTTTTAAAACTCATTTCCTACCAGCCTTTTAAGGGTAGCAAGACTCCTTGTATGCATTGGTGATTGAGGAAGAACTCCGTTTGAAGGAGGAAGTCCAAGTAAACCACAAAACAATGTCTGCAACATCAAGTTAAAGATTTCAAGTAAGTGCAAGTGTATTAGAACTAGGCTGTGTACTACCAGCTGTAGAAAAAAATTATACCATACCATAATGCCAAGTAAAAATATATCATAGTGGTATGCAGATGGTTTTTTAAGATTGAATTCCTTCTGTTGGGCCATTTGTGAAGCTACACTGTGATCAAAAAAGTATAATCCTGCTATCATTATAGCTGGAATGAAGGCAGCAAATATGTAACCAATTGGGACCCTTGCCATATCCTGAAATTTAAGATATACACAATAAATTCGAGAGCATGGCTTTTTTACAATGCATTGGTAAAACTTGAGATGTAGGAACTTATCTTATACACCCTTTGTCCCTAAATTAGGATCCCTTTTGCTTTTGTTATACAGTTATACTTTATTAATAAATTGAAATTGTGTACTCAAGTTTATTTTAAGAGGAGAAGAAAATGTGAACCACTCAGATCTTTCCTTAAAGGAAATGGGAAAATATTTTCGACACTGACTAAAGGGAAAGTGGGAAGCTAATTTGGGGCCATAAGGTCTACATGTTTGAACTTTATTTATAAGTTTCTGACAAAATAAGATAAATATCCCACCTATCAGCCTATGGTACCTAGTTTAGTCAACCCTAGAATATTGAGTGTGGGTTTACAAGTAATTGTTTCCACTCCAAGTCCACAAACTCAAAGTGCACATTTAACCAGTAAACCAAGTCTTAAATGCAATCAGAACAGTGAAAAGTCAAGACAGAGTTAGAATACCTTGACCACTGTCCAATGGTACAATGATGTAGAATTCCAAGGCAGAGGAGAAAATAGCCTTCGAGGAATACGAGATGAAATTTGTCCAGGTATACCGTATGACATTGCTGTCCACAATACAACCATAAGAGGAACCCCATAGTCTGCTATAAAACTTCGCAACCATCCTATTGGAAAATAAATATTAAAAACAAAACACGATAAGATATAAGTCAGCCAGATTATCTTATTCAAGAGCACCTCAGATTACATACCTGTACCGTAAGGCCACGACCTAGCTTGTCTACTTTTAAGGGCAGTTATGAGTAAACCAAATGAGAATATAATTGCCAATAACCCATTTGTGTAAAGCCAGTGAAACTTATACTTCTCTAATGTGGGATCCCCACCTTTAGGGATTTGAAATTCACTGACTAATCCCTGTGATACAAGAATAAACACTAGTATGATATTTTAATATCCCATTTAACATGATAGTTTCTTTCTTTTAATAAGGAAGGAGATATATATTCAAAACCTTTATCGCCTCTTGGTAAAATAGAACAGTAATCAACATGCCGAAAAGTTCCCCTGCGATCCTTGTAAACTTATTGATGATTGTACAGGCATTAAATATAGCCAGAAGAAACAGCAACACAGCCGTCCAAACACAAACCCTGTAACATAATATAATATAAAGAAACTCCATTTAGTAAGTAATTATAGATCGCAGAAGTTGTTATAATAATCTCTAAAAGAACTATATTTAGTTACCATCCTGTCCAAGCTACAAAGAGTTCCTTCCCCATGTCTTTCCTACTGCTAGCAAAACTATAGAGATAAGTATACATTATGATTGTGGGCTCTGCAACTCCTAAAATCATAAGAGGCTGTCCGCCAAAAATTGAATGAATAATTCCACATATTGCAGTAGAGGCAAGAGTTTCAACCGTCGTCAAGCTTCCATCTGTTATATAACCCATCATTAAAAAAGAAATAGGAAGGGACACATTACCAGAGGTACAACTTGTCATTGTATTCAAAGAAGTATATATACAGCAACAAGGAAACTAACATACCAGACTCCCTGCTCAACTGCTCACCAAATGCAATGACCGGAAGAGCAGAAGCAAAGAAAATGTAAGTGGTAGGAGCAAGAATCCTAAGATAAATTAAAATCCATTATTATCAGCAACCCTTAGTGATCTAAAAAATTTCCACTCATCTTTCTGAAATCAGTAATGAGATAGTAAAGCACTGTACCTCACGCCTGAACTAAATGCATCCACCCAGTCTTCTTTGTAACATTCTTTCCTCCCCTTCAAATCCTCTATAACTCCTTTTAGAGGAGTTCTTAAGTGCTCCATGTCCAAAAGCTGCTGAACAGAAAATTACAAAATTATATTAGGCTGATAGAATAATTCCACAAACACCCAAAGGCAATGCCGATCAAGATCCTCTTACAATGTAGTGATCAAGCACTGGATGCCGCTCAGATTATGCACTTTTTCTCTTAACAGAGTCAATGCCAAATAAAAACCAAGGTTTTTCTGATAATACACAACAATATTTTCACAACACTCAAAGTCAATGTGTACACATAAAAAAAGATCAACTTCAGCGAGTGAATTCGTTTAGAAAATACTCCGTATGCATATAATATGGAAGTTTCAGAAACCTTTTTAATTCAAATAATCCAAAAATCAAAATTTGTCTGCGCGTTCACACATTACGAAAAGCCAAATCAGCGCGTGACATATCATACATTGACCCCGAAAATAAAAAGCACACCGCATTTTTTCTGGTATGAGTTACATGCGTTACATATGTATTTGCTGTCTGCGAACGAAAACATGCACGAGTGCGGCGAGGACTTACGAAGTTACAATAGAGCGTAAAACAGTGCAGGACGAGGAGGAGGAAGGAGAAGGAGGCAGCGATGGGAAATGCGGCGGCGTTGCCGGAGGAACTTTTGGGCGGAGAAAGATTAGGGGCGGAAGTAGGGAGAGTATAACGGTGAATGAATGGCGCCGCGACAATGGGCGCAGGGAGAAGAGCTTCGGGCTCTCAACTAATTATACTACCTCCTTCAGCTACAATTGTCCGTTTTATCCTACTAAGATTGTTCATATCAAATTTGTCCAAGTTTTCGTGACTCTAAATCATTCTTACTTTATCAATTCAATATCAATCACATAAACCACTTTTTATCTATTTACGTGTCACTCCCTCTTGTTCCATTGTTAGCAGGAAGGAAGGAGTATACCACTGTAGCCGTGGGTGGGACACGCGTCTCACTGTCAGACCATTTCGTTACCCTTTTTTCCCCTTTTTCTATAATATCAAAAAAATAAGAAATAATGACAAATAGGGACGGTAAAACTAAAATAAAGATAATGACAAAAAAATCTTACTCTCATGGGATACTTCCGCCAATTGTTTGTGCGGATCTTCTTCTGTCGGCTTCTAGAGCGCTTTTTAAGGAGGCGTGAGTGCGGCTGTAGCATTTGGAAATGAATTCAAGGTTCAAGAAACGATAGTCATGTCTTCTATGGATGATCTAGTTAGAGCAGTATTGTCTCATTCCTGCAATTGAGGAAGAGGTTGAATGGCGAATCAACATGGATAGAGGGTTGTGGTGGTAGTGGAGGTGGAACGGGCGACGAGAAGATGAGGAGAGGTATAGGGTTGAGAAAGGGAGAAGATAGATCGGCGGTCCGCCCCCCTCCTGAACCGTTGCCTTGGAGCGATCGAGGTGCTAGGGTTTTGAAGATTTATCGGTTGCTTAATTTTTTATGGTTTTATTTTCGCGTTATGTTTTTTGTTGCTCTATTTTTTGTTATGTCTTTAGTTTTGTGTCTACAATTATGATTGACAATGCTGATAGATATTATGCTGTTAGAAGAATCTATATGGCCAGTGATTGTTGGGTCACACCTGTTCGGTGGTTAGCGATTCGTATTGCTCTTTCATGTGCGTCTATGAGTCTAGCTGTATGGTTGATAGTGCTAGTTGGTTAGAGATAGTTGTTGTCAGGGTTGATCGTTCTGAATTTGTTGTAACGATCTGATTCCTAATGATATTAGGGAAAGTTCCCGAAATAGGACTAAAACAGCTTGAAAATTCCAAAATAGGACTGTCATGTTTTTATTCCAAAATAGGACTAATTAGTGTCATGTTTTGGCAGTACCAGACTTCAAACATGACAGTATTTTCTAAACATGGCAGTAATTAGTCCTATTTTGGGAATAAAAAACATGGCAGTCCTATTTTGGAATTTTCAAACAGTTTTAGTCCTATTTCGGGTAATACTCTCATGATATTAATATAAGCGGTTTGTTTTGACAATAAAAAAAGTGATAACTCGTACTTAAATTAAACACTTAAAATATAATTTTTATCAAACACATATTTTACCAAACACTATCAATTTTTACTTTTCAAAATCATTTTTCTCAAACACTACCAATACTGTTAATCACTTTTTTCAAAATCTCTTCAAATTAAAAATACTTTTTGAAAGCAAAAGCATTTGCTAACACTCTCTTAGTGAATATAATAGTAATTTCAATGATTATAATGATGTTCTAATTTATATTGCAGTGAAATTAATGAAGATAATTTAAATATTATCTTCGTCCCGACTTAAGGTTCTTATTGAAAAATGACAAGTTTATTTATACAATAATTAAACAAAGTAGTTCGAGTATATTTTGAGAAAATAGTTTGATGGGTATATAGTATAATGAGGTAATTGATTACATCTAGGGCTGGTTCGGTATGGCATACAGAAATTTTCACGCCATACCGCATATCGTACCGAAATACCGGTATTTGTAAATCTCATACCGTTACCACACCAAAACTTTCGGTATACCGAAATTCGGTATACCGAAAATTCAGTACGGTATGTAACCCATACCGTTTTATTTTATACCGAAAATTCACAACACTAAACTTGTAAGACGATTCCGTATAAAGCATCGACATAAGGGGCCTACCGAACATCCATAAAATCTGATTTTAATATGTCGAAAGTAGTAGACGACATCAATTACACAAACTCATACCAAAACTAAAACACAATATTTAATCCAAGGTAGAAAATACTAAAATTATGCGCTAATATCTCAAGTCTCAACACAATCCATAATGAAAATTAGAAAAGTTATCCAACATAAATCAATGATAAATAATGTTTGTAATAACAAATCTTTGAACGATTGTTGCAGCTCCAAAAGATAAGTAGGCTAACACTTCACTCCTCCATTCCTCCTCCATTGCTGCGAATCAAAATAAATCACTTTTGTTATACTCCCAATTTTACATATTTAGACAGACTCAAATAAGACATTGGGACAGAGGGAAAATTTTTCTTTAAGAATATAATGAATTGCGTGGAGTATGGAGTGTAAGAAAGTCAAAGAAGAAGAATCTATACCCTGATAATAGTTTTCCCTTTTTTCAATGACTCTAGTATTACTTTTTCTGCTAATCTGCAAAATAAATGCCAAGGAATTTAGGTCGTAAAGGGAAAATGTGTATTGTGGCGTAAAATAAGCTCAAGAAATGTGTATTCAAGTTAACCCCATCAAAATCAAAATTTGTAAAGTTTTACTTGTGCATATGAACCCAGCAAACTTCATGTCTCAAAGTAGATATAGCAGCGTCATGAGCATCAAGAACAACTTGATAATATAAAGCAGAAAGAATTTGTTAATTAGTTGTGCCAAAGATATGAAAGTAAATTGTTGTGCTTGGCATGAGTTGTTCAGGGTTGGAAAACTTTATTCTATATACTCTGTCTTAAATTATTCCCTAAGCACTATATGCCTATCGGGCATTAATTCCATTTGTGACTCACACTTCCAGAAACAAGCTTAATATTTTGTATTCTGCTAAATAAGACCTATTTACACAATAAACAATACAACTGTATAACAAATCTGAGTTCTTAGTCTATATTCAATTAGAGTACTCCTTACTTCGTCAATGGCGTCTTCCTCACTTGTCCGCAGCTCTAGCTCAAAGTCTTTGGCCGTTCTTGAGTGCTCCGTCATTCCTCCGTAGCTTCTTCTTTCACAGCTTCGTCGTTCGCAGCTGGTCCGCAACTTCTTCTTCCACCCTCACTCGGTCACTTGGGAATTTACTTGATTAGGGATTTGGTCAGGGAGAATGGAGAAGGGCCATAGTTGATTTGGTCTGCATCATTTGGTCTCTACGTTGATTTGGTTTTTAAAATATTGGGCCTTGATATTTTACTAATTTCATTTAATGGGTTTGGTTCTAATAATTTACAAATTCTATTTCGGTATTTTGGTATATACCGTACCATACCGAAAATTAATGGTATTTCGGTATATACCGAAATACCGAAAATTTAAAAACTACATACCGTTACCGTACCAAAGTGACCATGTATGGTATCATACCGTATCGAATTTTTCGGTATACCAAAAAGTTCGGTAAAATTGGTATTTTTTGGTACGGTATGACCGGTATACCGAAATTTCGATATATTTTCCCATCCTTTATTACATCTGTGATGTTATAGATATATTACTTTTAATATTTTATAATTAAATTGTTATTTAACAATGCTAATTATTTCCAAAAATTAAAAAAGCAAGTGAGAACTTTAAGTTGGGACGAAGAGACACTACAAAAAAATCGCCTATAGTCACGGATTTAGTCACGGACCGTAGTGTAAAAAATCCGTGACTAACTATTTTAGTCACGGACATGTCCGTGACTACGTTTATTTTATTTTTTTAAATTCGGCCATATTAGTCACGGACCGATCTGTGACTAAGTTTATTTTTTTAATTACAGCCATATTAGTCACGGACCGATCCGTGACTAAGTTTATTTTTTTAATTACAGCCATATTAGTCACGGACCGATCCGTGACTGATTTATTTATTTTTAAAAATATTTTTTTTAGTCACAGATTGAATCCGTGACTACGCTTTTTTTTAAAAAAATAATTTTAAATTTAATAAACAATTCCGGACAAATTTTAAATAATTTTACGTTAATGGCATTAATTAATTCATAAACATTAACAATAATTTTTTATGTGTACGAACATTTATATATTAAATTTCACTAAAATTCCCTTAAAATTAACTAACGTCCAATTAATATTATTAAACTATAAACATGCACAATACGTTAATGGCATTTAATCCACAATACTAAACTTATCAACATCTTAATCTTATTAATAATGCACATTTAACAATTCACTAAATTAAATAATATGAGCAAATCCCATAATTTGAGCATATATATATAAACACATTTAAATTAAATAATACTTAAATTTAACTAATATTATAAAAAAATTAACTAATTTACGTAATTCACAATAATAATTCATCATACTTAAGTAATGTTTCAATTAACTAACCCTAATTTAAATCATTATAAATCATAAATTAGGCATTAACAATAATTGCTAATAAAGAAATTAAATCCTATGATAATATTTAACCATATATAAACTCATTTGAATTAAATAATACTTACATTTAACTAATATCATCTATAATTTAACTAATTTACGTAATTTTAATTAAATACAACTTAATTAACCCAATGTTTAAATTACACCTACGTTTAACTAATTTTAAGGAATTTATTTCGTTAATTAATTAACAACCTTTTTTAAAATGCATTTAATTTAAATTTAACTAATATTAACAAAAGTTTAACTAATTTATCTAATTAATTAATTTAACTTAATGTGTCACTATGATTAAACCTACGTTTAAGTAACTAATTTTTCACTAAATTAAATGAAATTGACATAATTCGTTACTTAATTAATAATCTCTCTAATTTAACAGTTTATTACACTTAAAATGAACCAACTAATTCATACAAAAAAAATACGTAATTCATACAAAAAAATACGTAATTCAAATTACATACCTTATCTGCATAAACAGGGAAAATGATATAAGATTGCTAGATTACATCCTTCAATTCAATCTGGAACAGTTGGTGTGGTTTTGTTGAATGAATCTGATGCTGCATATATAAAACTAGCGGAGTACGCAC